CAACTCCTCGAACGCAGCATTCTCGACCGACGTCCACTGCCATCGTTCATCCTTTTTTGTCAAGTTATGCAAAGGTCTAGCAATTTTCCCAAAGTCCTTGATAAAGCGACGGTAGAAATTTGCTAATCCTATGAACGATCTAACTCCTTTCACGTTCTTTGGCACAGGCCAAGAGGTGATCGCTTCGACTTTGCTCGAATGCATCTCCACTTTTCCTTTCCCGACTAGGAAACCTAGAACGTCTACTTGTTCAACCAGGAATGAGCATTTCTCTGGCTTAATGAATAGATCGTTATCTTTGAGTCTTTGCAAGACTTCTTTTACTTTTTTCAAGTGGGCGTCTCTATCGCCGTCTTTACTGAATATAAATATGTCATCTATGTATACTACTACACAATCGTCCATATCGCCCAGTATATCGTTCATCATGTTCTGGAACGTAGCGGGCGAGTTACATAAGCCAAAATACATTACTTCTGGTTCGAAGGAGCCCAGAGGCGTGGTAAACGCTGCCTTCCACTGATCTCCGTCTTTGATCCGCACATTGTTATAACCCCAGCGCAGATCCATTTTGGTGAACAGCTTCGCTCCTTTTAACCGATCTATGAGATCTCCGATCAACGGAATTGGATAATTATTTTTAACCGTCCACTTGTTTAAATACCGGTAGTCTTGCACCATGCGCTTTTTACCGTCCTTTTTGGGAATGAAGAACACAGGAGAGGTCTGGGGAGATTTGGAGGGTCGGATGTACCCTTTGTCCAATTCTCCTTTGATGAAATCTCGGATTTCTCCTAGTTCTTCTTCTGAAAGGGGAATGAGTCTTCCCTTTCTGGCGGTAAAGCCATCCATGAGCTCGATGGCATGGTCCCATGCTTTTCGCTCTGGCATGCGTTCTGATGCAATTTTTGAGAACACCGATAGATACTCGTGTAGGGTCGGGGGTACCAATGAGGCAGGATCATCCGGTGTTTCTGCCTTCTTGGTATCTAAATCGTCCTCGATCCTGCGGATGATTCTGTAAATAATTTCGGCAGAATCAATCTCCGAGTTTTTCTCCGTTTTCCTCCACTTGGGTTCGGGCCACAATTCGAAGCAGTTGTGGGGACACCGGGACATTTTGACGTCACCGGTTTCCCAATTGATTTCAGGGTTATGGTGTGCTAGCCAGTTGAACCCTAATATCATGGGTACTTTTCCCAGTTTTGTTACTTCAAACTGCGCCTTTTCTCTGTGTCCCTTGTACTCGACCACAAGTTCCAACGAGTGTGTGATGCTACCCGATGTATTCCTGGATCCATCCACGTTGAATACCGTAATGGGGTGTTCCTTCTTTGTGAACTTGAAGCCCTGCTTCTTGCCCCAATCCCAATCTATAAATAGCCCTGTGGCTCCAGAGTCGAGTAACGCGGAACACGCTATCTCGCGATTCTCTTGTCGTACAGTCAC